CCTAGGTAGGGGAACTCCCAGTTTCTTGTGATGTCCGTTACGAGTGGAGACTCCTATAATGCCCTAGCTGTCCTTTTTGCACCCCAATCTATGTACTCCTTGATATAGTTGTTGACCAAACAGCTATAATTTTTATTGTCATCTTTAAAGTTATGAACTTTCAGCTTGGTCCAAACCATATCAAGGAGACCAACGAGATTAGGGTAACCAAGAGTCTCTCTTAGAACTTGGAATTTCGCACTATCTTCCTTTAATCCCCCTATCCAGACAATTTCGTGAATCTTTTCATTCACATGAGAAAATGATTTACGAGTTGCACCAACTCATCCTCTGTGTCTCTTAAAATCAATGTGTGAGTTTGTAGAGTTCTAATCATGTTCATAACCCTTTCCCTTTGAGCGGGTGTTCTAGCAACCATTGCACGTCTATACGTAACATTTTTTCTGTAACAAATAAAAAAAAAAACTATTATTTATCAAATAAAGGTTGACTATATTTGATAAATAATACACGTGTTATGGTTCAAAAACAAAATTAGACTCATAACAATATACCAAGTATGCATTTTTATTCTTTACATCAAAAGAAAAAAAATTTACAATACTTCACGCACCCCCACGCGCCAGAAGAAGCTGTCACGCGCCCCCACGCGCCGCCAAGAAGCGGCAACGCGCCAACAGAATCCCCACGTGCTCCCACGCGCCGGAGAGCTTCCACGCGCGCGTCACGCGCTCACACAATACGGGTCGGGTCAACCCGTTTCATACTAACCGGGTCTATCCTGACCCGAGTTGACCCTTGACTTTGCGAGTCGAGTGCTGGCCGTTTTGCCGACCCGTTGACTTTATCGGTCGGGTGTTGACCGGTTTGGCTGACCCGTTCGATCATGTGGTCGGTCCACGGGTCAACTTGACCCTTTTTTATTTGGATTATGGGTTGGGCCGGATAGGAATATAATGGGTTTGTGAATATGGTTAACACCAAAACGAAATTAGCCCAGTGGTTAGGGTATTGGGCTTCAACCATGGAGACTTGGGTTCAAGTCTCACCACCCACCCTATTTGAATTTTTTTCAAAAAAAAACTAACAGGATAACAACGACATGTCATTCATAAGGTGGACAAAATGACGTGTCAGTTTGTGTCGTCTTCAACCTCTGTCCGGTCTGCAACTGGGTACCCGACCCCAGAAATCAACCCATTCGAAACCCGAAACTTCAAAGAGATCATCTAGTCATTTTAACTCCATTTTTTATGATTCAAAAACCATTTTCTTCAAATTTCATAAGGAATTTAATGGTCTAAGAATCATTACCAAAAAGACACTTTTTACATACAAAATTTGAAAAAACAGAACTGCATTTGAAAAACCAATAACATGCTTACATTACAGTATGAATTTCAAACAATATGAACCACGGCTCTGATACCAATGTTGGAAATTATAGAATAACAAATATCCTAACATAATCCCAAGATCATAGTCACCATTGCAATCACATTGTATATAAATGAACTACAATGAATTTACACAGCATATATACCTCATTTCCTTACTCTGAAGCAACAAAGTAATCTGAAGAAAAACCACAATCGTTTTCCTGTTTTCCAAATTCTAGAGAGAGAGAGCGTTTATTTTCTTGCGTTTTTTTTTTAAAGTAACAGATTCGTAACGCTTTCTAAAGGAAAAAGTTTTCCTTTTCTCACGTCCCTCCATCATGGGTGGACTTGATTTAAACAAGATTTAATAAAAACAAACGGGAACTTATCCATATAATATTTTACATTTAACTTTATAATGGGGAATGGAGTGGGTTCGAGGGCTGCAAACGAACCGAACAGTTCGCGAACGTTCGTTGTGCGTTCGATTACTGTTCGATAATATTCACGAACATTTGTTCTGGAACAGTTCGATATTCGTTCGATAATATGTTCGATCGAGTCGAACAGGGGAGTTCGTTCGATTATGTTTGCGAACGCTATACGTTTGACTAATCCATCCGTTCGCGAACAATCGTTCGATTGTTCGTTCGTTTAGTGTCGAAAAACATGTTATGCATTATTATAATTCAATTTTTTTTTCATTTTTATATTATATTTGATTTAGTTTGGATGAATTTTTTTTAATGGTAATCAATAATAAAATATTATGATACTTTTGTTTTTCTTATATATATAATTGTTTGGATTTTTTTTTCCAAATGTCTCAATAATTAAATATATAAGTATATAGCATTTTAATTAAAAGTAATAAATTATTATGATACATAGTATGACAAATTTAATAACATATAGATTGTATAATCAAGTGAATAATATAGTAAATCCAATAACATAATAGCTTCATATTTTTCTAAATGTAATCAATAATTAAATATTAGAATAGCATTTCATTAATAAATAATAATATAGTATGGTAAATTGATAAACATAACATATTGTATAATCAAGTGATGTATAGCATAACAATTTTAATAATATTGTTTAATTAAACCTAATAATCACACATTTGTATTGATTATATATACAAATTAATCACATATATGTATTGATCATATATTACAAATACTTTCATTCCACTATAAATTTATGAGTGTTGATACAAAATATATGTAAACATTTAATATTTTAGATAATTTTGTAATGATAATAATATAGGATAACCTATAATTGATAATTTCATAACATATTTAACCTATGATTTATATGTATGATATAATTTTTGTATATACTAATTACACATATATTATAACAATTAATCACACATATGTATCATCATATATATAATAGACCATCATTTCACTAAGAATTTATGGGTGTTGATACAAAATATATATGTAAACATTTAAAATATTTATGATAATTTATATATGAATAAATATAGGTAATCTATAATTTTGATAATTTCATAACATATTTAACCTATGATTAATATAGTATGATATAATTTGTATATACACAATTACACATTATATATAACAAATTAATCACACATATGTATTCCATATATTATAATGGCCACCTCATTTCACTTTGAACTTATGGGTGTTGATACAAAATATAATGTAAACATTTAAAACATTTACGATAATTTATATATGATATAAATATATATAACCTATAATTTTGATAATTTCATAATATATTAAACATATAATTTATGATTAATATATATATGATAATAATTTTGTACATACTATATGGTGCATGTTCACTCCTTGGAATCCTTTTGGTTGTGCGGTAATGTCTATGCAAAATGCAAATTCCTTTTGTTTGTGTCATGTTTGATATGGAACTAAATTTGTTTTGAATGATTTATTGTTCTGTTTAATTTATTTTAAGTTTTATTATTTATGATAGTTAGTTATTTTAATTTACTGAGTTTTTATTGATTTATTTAAAATATAAATATATAGAGAGAGTTGGTTTATTTTCAAAGTTGAATTAAATGGGTATGAATTATAAACTGTTGCATATTTTGTTTTTGAGCATGAATTGGAAAGTTGGTGTATATTTTTATTCGAACAGGTATTCGAACGAGTTATTCGAACATGTATTTACAAGTTATCGACGAGTTATTCGAACAGGTATTTACAAATTATCGAACGGTTATTCGAACAAGTATTTACGAGTAGTTAAACAGTTAGTCGAACGAGTTAGTCGAACGAACACGAACGAGTTACGAACGTCGAACGAGTTAGTCGAACACACGAACGGTTACAACGAAACACGAACGAGCTTTTTGTTAATCGAACGAACACGAACACGAACACGACACGAACAATCGAACATGCTTATGAACGATTTTCGAACGGGCCTGTTCATTCATGTTCGGTTCGATTGCAGGCCTAGTTCGGGGTGGAAGTATTAAATCCATCCCCTATCCATTTCAACATGGTGAATTGATTTGCTCCGAAACCCACCATATATATATTTTATTTTTTTTTGGTAACCAGGTGGTTTAGGCTAACTTGCGCCACCTCACTAATCCTCAGATCTATTAAACACCTTATAAGTCATCCCGATGTCTTTTGAACATCCACTACAATCCAAATAATCAGTAAATTATATGTTATATGTAGGTGGCTCTAAGGTTTGAACCCGAAAACTTCATCAACTAATCCTCGAAGTCCATTGAACACCCTACAAGCCCAAAGATCAGTAATCACAATGTTATTGTGGTAGGTGACATCAAGATTTGAATCACAAACCAAATCTTCTTAACATCAAGTCAACCTCTTTAGTTAACAAACCCACCATATTTCCCAAATTATCTCCCTCAACCTTGACCCAGTAGAGGAGTTCCCCACGACCACGAGCACATAAACCATGGGCATTTTGGCATCCCAAAGTGTAAATGGTAATGGATAGAGAAAATGGGCTTGCAAATTGGCCCTAGCTGGCCGAAGAATTTTACTTAAAATTACAAACTAGGTGTCGCCATCAAATCTACTTATTGAAAGATAAAAGGAATTTAAGATTTAGAAAGCAGTGCTTCATGAGAATAGTCTTTTTCATAAACACTTTGATATAATAACCCTTTTTACTTGAATTATTGACAAAATCAAAGAAATATGAATTGGGAGTTTTTGGAGCAATTCGAGATGAATTCCAATAATATTGCAAGCATTTTTACATTTTTTCAAAGAATCAATATCAAAATGCCATTAAACAACAAAAAATGGGTACAACAAAAATCACCCTTTTCACTTCACTCCCCTCCCCAAATAATTAATTCATATAATCAGTAAATTAATATTTTTTTTTTTAAATAAAAAAGACAACCCCACTTTTTTTCCCTCCCCCAATAAAAAAGCACACAAAAACACGTTACAAAGTTACTGTCACCGCCCTATCTCAAACTCCACTTGTCTCCTTCTTCAATCTTATCTTGACAAGGACCCCACCTAATAATAAATAATAATAATAAAAAGATAAACGAGTGGAAACACACCACGTGAACGCCCAGTTAGCAGAATATGCACCACAGCCTTTTTGTTTTTTTCTTTTTTCTTTTTTTTTTTTTTAATATAACGTTTATTTTTTTCTTATTGGGACCATTAATTGTCCGTACAGGCCATGGCGTCAGTGTTCATCGGCTGCGGCTGCTGTGACGGTGGTTGTTGCTGCTGCGGTGGTGCAGCATTGTTGGTGTTGCGGTTGTTCATTTTCTTGAGGTTTTGTTGATGATAAACTTGCCTTAGTCTCTCAATTTCTTTCTTCAATGCCTCTTGATGAGCTGAAATTCATGCAATAATAAATAAATCATAATTTTAATATGATTAAGGCACTAAACTCTACGTGCTTTTAATAAACAAAGCCAACTTTATTGTATAAAAAAGTTCCAAAAAAAATTAATTTAACCCTTTTAGGAAAGCTTAAATTAAACGAAAGTTGATGAAACTTAGATGATTATGATCATATAACATAAATAATCTTAAATTATTTAAGATATATTAGTTTAATAACCGACAAGATATGATAATAGAAATAGAGAAAACGTAATAACAGGTATTTGGGATCTTCAACTCGACAATTAATTAAATAACTTCAAAGAGAATCATATCTACCTAATCATTTACATCATTTCTTGTCAAACCAGTCACCATTCATGAAGCATGGAAGCTGAATGTGTTCATGAAGATGGAAGAATTATTTTGTCATGCAAATGATTATTCATCTTTTTTTATATATATGATAACTATCATTAAAATAAAAATAAAAAAACAGCGAGATAGATAGATCTTACTAACCATCTTTGAAGATCTTGTCTTGAGCCAAAGCTGCAATCCGTTGCTTCAAAGCACTGTTGTCAACATTCAGAATCAACCTCTGATGATCCAGAAACGCCACTCTCGGTGACAATGCCGATACTTCAGTCTTCATTTTGCATTCAATTAATATCGGAGTAAGAACAAAAGGAGAAAATAAAAAAACAAAAACAAGAATTCATTGCTTATATTTGTTAACTTTTACCTGCAATGTTGTCACGCTCCTTTCAAGCTCTGAAATATATTGCAACTTCCTCACTCTTGACCTCTGAGCTGATTGACGATTCGCCAGAATTCTGAAACAAATCCATCAACGGTTTACTCTTATAATTTGCTATGCGGGTTATTATTATCATAATGATATATAATGGTTTTACGTATGTACCTCTTGACTCGCTTCGGATCAACGATGGTATCACCATTGGAGCTAGGAGGAGGTTGAGTTGCTTGTTGTTCAGTTTTGCATGAGCTCTCCACCTCTCCAGGCTCATTCTTGGGCTGCTGCTGTTGATCCATGGGAGTTGTTTTCTCATCATTGTTGCTATTTTGATCGGAGGGCGTGGAGGGGTTAGAGGAGGAGGCGGTGGGAGGAACAGTGTTTGATATGTCGTCAGAGAACATGGACATGAGTTGTTCATCATCAAGACGATCAAAGCAGTTGGTTTCAGGCATGTTATTGATGGCATTATTTGAATTTCTGCATTCTTCGACCAACGGAGGGTCGAGAAAAGCGACGGAGTCGCTAATGGAGCGACGGTGGGCACCGCGGCGGACAGAGGAGAAGTCCAGAAACTCATCAACCCAAGAGGGTTGATTGTTGTTCTGGTTAGTATTTAAGGTCATAGTGGCAAAGTTAGCGAGAGGATGATTAGAGTGATGGTTGTTAGAAATAAAGGAGGTGGTTGAAGGCAATCTTTGGTGAGGAAAAGAATTCCAATTATGGGTCATATTTGGTTTAGGAGGCAATTGTGCCATTTCCCAGTAAATGTGTGGTGAATAACTGGTTGACACAAACACAACCCAACAATGTCTCAAAACAAAATCTTTGGAGTCCGAAAAACACTCTGAAGCAGCAGATCTGAGGGCATATAAAGCGGAGAAGGAGGAGGAGGAAGATTGATATGATATGAAATTATAAGACTGAATGATAGCAGCGTAGATCCTCATACATGATTTTGATTATGTAAAAATATTTTAAGGGCAAGAGGTTTTGTGGGTCACATGGGGGGGGGACGATTAGGGACAGCTAGCAACAGCTGGGGAAGGGGTTGGGGACTCAACGGTTTCACTGGAAAGTAGCAGTATGAGTTTAATAACTGGAGGAATCAGCCACCACGTGCCGATGTGACCCCTTTCCTTCCCATCCCATCAATTTATAGTATTATATATATAATCTATACTTTTTTCATTTATAAACATAGGAATATATAATATAGATTTATTTATGAATTATATTTCTTCATTGCATGTCCACACATACATATTCAACATATCTCTACGCACAAATCATTTATATTCCATACACCCTTTTGTTGGATTTTCTCTACTTTTATTCTATACCCACTTCATTATTAGTTAAAATTCTACCAAAATTTCGATGTATTTCCATTATAACTGCGTTTTGAACAAATTGATAAGAAAAATCAAACTCCTTGACTTTTGACGATCATATTTTTTTTATAACAAAATCAGTTTAGTTATAGAATACAATCAAGATTAACTCATAATTCCTACGTGATAGTTCGTAATTGGTTAATTCACAATTAATCAGATGAGAAAATTTATCATAAACCAATTACAAGCTGTCATATCGAGATTGTGAATAAAAATTTATAAGATTGAGTTGCAAGTGTAATATTAGCCTACAGAATATATCATTTTCCATAAAATTTCTTAAAGTTACAAAAAAATATTTGTTGATATTGCAAGAGAGAATCTCTTGATTGATATACTATTTAGGATATGTGTAGATGTCAAGATAAAAGAAGGGGAGGATAGATGTCAAAATCCCATATAAATCTTGCAAGAAGAATGAGATACTATGTAAGATTGAGAATTATTTATATATATACCGATATAGTGGGCGAGGAAGGATGATGAGCTGTGAAAGAAAGTGAAGGTGTAAGAATCATGTCCTCCTCTTGCTCTCTCCCCCCATGTGAACTGGTTGTAAGAGCCCACCTTTCTTTCCTTTGTCTCCAAATCAGACTCACATGGAGGCCTGTCTATGTCTCTTTTCTCTCTCTCATTCACAAGCCAACTTCTTTGTACCTTCCATCATCTCATGTTCGCATTTATGTTCTTTATTTAATGCAAGTACTTAGCAGACACTAATAATGATTACTGAAAAAGCTGGAAACTTGGACCTGGAGTTCATGTTAAATCTACGCTCTTCCTCTTTCTCTACCTCCCTCCCCGTTTCAATCTATTATACTCTTTACTTTTACCGTTTCAAATACTGAGAAATTCTTTCTGATTTTATAGTTTCAGGCTTTCAATCTATCAAGATCCTGGTTTTACTGTCAAAATCGTTAACTAAAACTAAAATGACAAAATCATCTTCAACAACTGTTTTAAAAATCTATTTATTTGATAGATAAAGATTGGTTTACAATTCAATTTTATAAATTTTCTATTATAATTACATGATGGTTAACAATTAGTTAATTGGTAAATTGGGTATACAAAATCTATTGCGAGTTAACTAATTGCGAACTATTACATATGAATTGTGAAAAAAAGTTTGTGAAATTTGGTTATAAGTGTAGTATTACTCTTATTTGATATTCTCAATCCATTAGTTTTTAAATTATATATCTTCTCTAGAGGGTTCAAGTTCGAACCATTTGATAATCAAATGTTATAAAAATTTTAAACATTACTATTTGGGGGTAATTTTCTAATTACATTTTTAACTTACGGATTTTACAAACTTTAGTTAGTTTCAAATAAAAGTTTCCTGATAATTGAAAGATCAAGATCTGGATCCTTTTTTACTGAAATCCCTGGTGAGGGCCATAATATAACTAGGGTTTTTTCAATCTTTTAACTTATAAGTTCAATGTTATGGACTCGTGATAATCAATGGAATGACCCTTCTTTTAGTGTCGGTTAGAGTTTGATCAGTGGCTTAAAAAATTCCATGGAGAATTGACATTTAAACACAAAAGAGGCATGTGCGAGGTAAGCATGATTGTTGGCTTGAAACTCACCATTTCCACTTAAAATATATTCTGTATTGAGTAATATTGAATATACAAATCTCAGAAATGAGGGTTTGCATGTGCATGTCATTACTGGCAAAAGGAGAATTAGTGAATAAGCTCTGTGAATAATGATGAATTAAGTTTATTTTTTATTTCATTTGATCCCAGAAAACTGTAAGGGAGGAAAGGAAAATGCCGTACAGAAGAGGGGAGAAGAAGGGAGTACTCTACTATTCAGTTTAATTGTTTTCTGCCATGAAAATGAATTGATAAAGAAGAAAAGCATTATTGCACGTGGGAAGGAGTAAACTAAAGGCCCTACTTGTTCCTTCCACTTAATAATAAAAAAAACCACCATTAAAACTGTACGCGTTAACACATTATACTATAAAGAAGAAAACCCCATTTGCATTGAATCTCGTGATTTTCTCTCCTTTTCTGAACATAATTGGGTAAACAGTTATTTAACTCCTTTTCACTGAATGGGGATGGATCGTTTAATTAGGAGTTACAAAGTGTAAAAGAGAGGAGGGTAGTGGTGATGAAGATGAAGCATTGAATGGTGATAAATCCAACAAAGAGGTCAACTTCTTTGAACAATGTTGTAATATAAAGACTAAAAGGCAAGCCATGTCTCTGCTTTTAATATTATAATTCTATTTTTTATTTTTTATTTTTTTACTTTCTTACACCAACATTTCCATTTACAATTTCAATTTTTTTTTAGGAAAATTACCTGTCCCCCCACTTTTAATCCCACATTTCTTGTAATTTTTTTTTAGAAAAAATAAATTATTTCATCTTCACTTTTTCTTTAAAAAGATTTTATTAAAGACCAATTTGATATGTAATTTAAGTATAGTTTTTTTTTTTTTTTTAGTACAAAACAAAAAAAAAACGATTAAAAGACATTTTCTATAGTTTTTAATCTAAAATTTAATTTTTGAATATTATACTAAACATATTAAAAAAAATTTAATCATATTTTTTTTTTAAATTTATTTTAGATCAAAAATCAAATCTGAAATTTTAAACTATCATGAATTACTCCATTGAACTTAAAAATCAAAGGCTCCGTTTGATATAGTCTTCCAAATATTATTCTATGTTTTCCCAGTAAAGTTAAACAGTAAAATTATCTTATTCTTAAAATATTATTCTATATTATTTAATTTCTTTTAAACCTCCCTAAATTTGTTAATTTACTAACACCCCAAATTTTTTTTTAGAAATTACAAAAACACCCCAGCAACCCACATTTACCAGATTCCGGCCACCACTGCCGAAATCTGGTATAATAGAGCAATACAGGCTGAATCTGGCCAGTAATACGTCAATCCAAATCTACAGCCAGATCTAGCCGTAGATCTGGTCGGAAAAGGCTATATCAGTGCATGACTGGTAAGATCCAGCTGGTCATGCACCGATATGGCGACTTCAGCCACCCTCTGGTGGTGGTGGTCAGCTATCCGTATTTAATGGGTGGATTTTTGGTGTTTTTGTTAACTTTTAATATTTTATTATAAGGGTGTTTAGTAAATAAACAAACATATGGGGTATTTTTGTTAATTTTCAAATCCTACACCGTAATACCCATCCAATTTAACTTTTTTCAAAATATTATTTTAAAAAGTATCATAATAATAAACCAAACGGACCCAAAGCTACTTTGATGTGTTGTAATTCATTATCTAAGAGGATTATAGTCCATGGTTAAATTTAATATATGAATCACGTTAAAATGTATTTTAGATCTTTATCTTTTTATTTAAAGAAATTATTATTAATAGAAGACTTTGACTTTCTTAAACAATAGGAAGATAATAATATATTTTATACTAGGTGGTGGCGACTGGCGATGACTATAATACACAATTGTTAAAATCGATTTCCAAATCTGGGATAATTGCAAAAGATAAAAATAAAGCTTCAACTGCTGCAATTTACAGCAAAGAAGCTTTAAGCTTTTCCAATTAAGTCATGGAAAATGAAATGAATGTGTAATGAATCGAATTCTTCTTTCTGTTTTTGTTGCTTTTAACAAGTTTCAAATGCTTTTTTTTTCTCATGAAAATTCTTTAATTTACTAACACACTAAACAAATTTAATTCTCTGTCTTTGATTCACCTGTTTTTATTTGTTCTGTTTAATTTTCTAATTTAAAGATATATTAGTTAACATAAATTTATATTAAAAAAACTGGTGTCTGCAGTGTTCTTATAAATTATGTAGAATTTATTATTAATATTTCAAATTAAAAATTCCCGAATATGGTATCCACATAACGTGGCAAGCTTGTCACGTCACTGAAGCATCGCTATCAAATAAAAAAAAAATTAAGTTGATTTTTGTTTATATATGTTGACATCAACATGTGCTTTTGTTTCCATTTTCATCATATTTGTCTTAAGAAATAAGAACTTGAAAAAATTGCTTTGAAGTTAATAAATCATTGAAATGCAATAATTTAATGGTGTATGGATTATATTATTTTTTGTGTCAAAAGTATGATACTTTCGAACTTTATATATATTAGAAAACAAAACGATAGCATTATTTAAAAAAGTGAAAACATACACAAAATGCTTTTCAAAGATATAGCAAAGAATAGTTTTTTTTCTTTTTTTTCCTAACAAAGTTACAAATTCCAAGTTACATCTATGCCGCATGGCAATGGCACATTATTATAATTAGAGTTTGTAAGTAAATTTTCCCTTCTAATTTGAAAAACTAACACCGACACCCATATTGAAGTTTTGAGGGTTAAATCTAACAATACAATGGATAAAAAAGACATTTTGAATAAACAGTTAACAATTTTGTTCAAATGGTCGTTTAGCCAAAACCTCCAACCACATACAAATAATGTCAACAGTTTATTCAAAATATCTTTTTTATCCCTTGAACCGTTACATTCAACTAACAAAATCATCATTTGGGGTTGGCAGCATTAGTTTCTAATGAAGTTTGTCCATTAAATCTAACTATACAAGGGATAAAAAAGAAATTTTATATAAAAAGTTTGAACGATTTTGCCAAACATTTGACCATCATTAATTGTCAACAACTTGGTCAAAACTTTCAACCACTTAAACAAAAATGCCAACGGTTTATTCAAAAATATTTATCTATCCCTTAAACCATTACATTTAAATGACAAAATCATCATTTGGTGTTGGTTGTATTAGTCTCCTACAATTGAGGGAAAAGTTTTTGTGCCAAACCTCAGGGGTGCCATTGTAGTAAACCCTTATTATTAAAGCTTACGAGACACAAAGGTAAAGTCATTAAGCTTACAAGATAAGACTCCAAATAGACACAATTCTGTAGATAGCATATCGATTATTGTTTATACACTCATGTTATTAACCAAAGCTGAAAACAGGGCGATCATAAACACTAGCAAGCAACCCCTAAAAAGATTCCTATATGTGTTGATCTATTCCAGCTCTGTTGATTTATGTCTATAGACATTCTATGCAATTATTATATACCAGGGAATAACTAATGCCTGAAGATCAATCGAATCACTTACATAATAGCCTAATCCAAGGCTCAGTGCTGTCCATTCCGACTCTCCTCAAAGCTTACATTATCCTTTACTTCACTAGAGAAATGGGATCTTAACCCAGTCCAGCACTGGTAATAATCAGGATCTATTGCGGGAGATTCAAGAGCCCATGGGCAGATTCTGGGAATTAAACACGATTCAAACATAAAGGCCATGGTATCAGTGATTTTATATGGTGCTGCCTCATTTCCACGTGCAATGGTAGCCTGCATCAAAAAGAGTTATCAGACCAGAGGATTTGAAACAGCTCAAAACACCTATACAGACATATGGTTATTAATCAAAGAAAAGTTCTAAAATGGAAAAGAAATTATCCACTTTGTTCAATTTTTTCAGTAAAAAATCTTACAATGAGTATGTAATCTGGTCCACAGACTACATATAGGAATAGAGACATAAAAGGAGAGCCCCAAGGGATATCAGCAGAGCACATATAAAAAATGTGTACTAGAGGTATACCTCGAATGTCTTAGTATCAGGACCATGGGGAGTCATACAGCTGTGAAGGCTTGCACCGCCTGGGAGAAACCCATCTGCTTTTGCCTTGAATAAAACAAAAAGAGAAATAATTAATTGAATGAATAAATGCTATGTTATGTGCATAAATAGTAAAAATTCCTGCAAAATGAAGGTAATTGTACCAAGACACGATTTAGGAAACATATTTGATTTCGCATTCTGTTTGCCTAGCAGATGTCAAAATGTCTTTTTCTCCTTTAAAAAAAAAAATTAATAAAAATTTTTAAATTCAAATTAAAACCAACTCTTATTCAAATCCAAGAGATCCAACTAGCTATCACCAACATCTTACCAAGTAAATTAAAACACTGGGGGGCAGAACCACACTAAAACTGTATCTGATTATTCTTCTATATTTAACAGAGCTAAAACTAAGAATTTCACATTTCAAAATACAGCAATAGGTATTTTCAATCTTTTCACAATTAAAAGACATAGCAATAACCAAATTTCTGTCAATTGTATTGCTAAATTAAAAGTCCAAGGTAAGATTGTGTTCTCATCACTCAAAATAATAAAAAAATCACATAAGAATTAAAGTAGAAATTGGATAAATATCTACCTCATATCCACCATATACCAGGCCCATAAACTCACTCATGCAATTACGATGGTAATATGGAGGTCGGAATGTATGCTCAGCCACCAACCATCTAGGAGGGAAAATGACAAAGTCAAGCAGGGCCACACCAGGTTTATCTGTTGGTGCTGTCAGAACTGCAAAACATAGCACATATCCGTTTAAAAAATGAAACACAAGTTATAAATGATAAAAAAAAAAAAGACTAGAATTCTGGAGAAAAGGAATATGAGAATACGGATTAACCTACCTGTATTTATAGATGGATCACCATGATCAACTAAAACAGTATTATAGGGGCAGAACTTACTGAGATCATACTGCAAGTGAAAGATGTTTTAGTTAAATTCAACTGAAATGAAGCTGATTATGATATCCTTATAACAAGGTCATCCTTTCACATTAATTTTAATTTTCATCTGATCATTTCAACATATGGAAAAACAAAAAAAGCCAACAAAATGCCTCTCTTCATCCAGTATATTCAAATGAGTGGATTATGACACCACCTACCTTATATGGCACATAATTACCATGCCAAGCAACTACATTGAAAGGAGAAAAGTCTTGTTTTGCAGTAAACAGTTCCCCGCCAAACTTTTGCACAATTGTATATCCTGGACAGGATTTCTCTTCAAACCAGGCTTTAGGAGTAAGGAAATCCCTTGGCGCGGCCAGACCATTAGCTCCTACATGCAATCAAAATTATGTTTTCCACTGTGTTACACTATCAAGATGCTCAATAATGTAAGTTAAGTGGAATGATACAATAACTATAATAGTTTTACACTTGTAATCAAACATTTGCATAACACTAATGAAAAAGAGATCATGTACCTATTGGACCAAGGTCAGGAAGCTGAAAATGGGCACCAAAAATCTCTGCAACATAACCGCGTGATGGGCCATCTGGCAAACTTACATCAAAACGAAAACCTTGGGGTAAAACAGCAATTTCACCAGGAGAGACTTGTAATCTTCCACATTCAGTGGTAATCCACAGCCCTATACAAACAATACAAAGTACATAAATAAAACTGTCAAACAAGAATATACTCCAGAAGAGACTCCCAATTGACCAAGTAAAAAAAGAGTTAAGAAAGTTTTGTTAACCAAGGACTGCAACTATACATACAAATTTCTAAGCACCAAACAATGTAAGCGGGTAAGAAAAAATTGTAAAAACAAGCATGAGCTAAAATCTTAGTCATGTAAAAGAGTTTCAAAATGGAAACTACAAAGAGAAAAAGGGCTCTCCCATATATGGATTCCATACAGTGAAACAAGCACCAGCAACCAGGTTCCAAACAAGATGTCACTCGCACTCAAATCAAGAAAAGATTGCAATTCACTTACTTCCTTTTTGGGGAACCACCAAAAAGTCGCCATCTGCATTGCAGAAGGCAGAGTTTTCCATTGATTTGTTGGCAGTGTACCTAAAAGTAAATAAATTCTCATTCTTATCAAAACAAATATATAGCCTACATGACTTCAGTTTTAAGAGCAATTAAAATGGTTTACAAACTAGAAAACCTGTAATCTTATCCGACACTATTGTTTTTCCTATTTATATCAAAAGTTCAGAACCCAAAAAATGAATAATATTACTTAATCATATGAAAATGATTATGGAATACCAATTACATGTGAATAGCATATCCATGCCGAAGAAATGAGCTTCCAGTCCCACATATTGTGTATAATCCATCAACGAAATCAGTCGGCAAATCAGGAATATCCAACGGCCTCCACCTTAACTGAGTTGGGGTGGTAGAACTGTTAGATTTGTCAAATTCACCCACAAGCCTTCCATGAGAAGGTACTCGAGGCTTGAATGGTTCATGTGTAACCGATGGCTTTATCCTGTACAACCAACTGCAGAAAAGAACCCACAAAAAAATTGTAAATCAACAACAGAACAATAACAATTCCACAGAACAATTAGAATATGTCCAGCAGATAGAATTAAATGTGTTCTAAAATCTAGATAGTTATTAAATTTGATAGATTGACAAATTAATAGAATTTCATATGCCGACACTAGGCAGTGACTAGTGACCATATATGCAACAAAGTCATGTGAAATTTAATATCACAAAACTCAATCACTTAAATATCACAAAAGTCGTGAAATAATTTCCAGTAACTCAGTATGAAAAAATGACACAAAATTATATTACCAGCGACATAAGTAAATGTTCTCTTACCTCCAAAATGATCAAGACTAACCTCAAACAATCGATTATCAAAATAGACAGCTTTATTAATTTTAGTTGCATGAATATTATTAACAGTGTTATATCATGAGAATTGGAAGTCCTGAAATTTGACTGTGTCTCGAAATTAAGTGTTTTTCCGCCTATTTTTGAGTGAGTTAAAAAACTAAATAAATTCCTAAAATTAAAGGAACCTGCGTTGATTGAGCTTGCGAGGACAAGTGAAGGAGGTGCCGGAAAGCTGTTCGGCGTAGAGACCGTAGGGGCAAACAAGAGGATTGTTCTGTCCAGGTGGCAGAGCACCGTCGATGGCCTCGGAGGAGAAAGAGTTGCCGAATCCTGATTCGTAAGCGAGATCAGAAAAATCTACGCCGTTCATTTTGCCGACAGCTGAGGATGATTGCTTCTTCTCCATGATAACTGGAAGCTTCAGCTAAAAGCTCAAATGTCCTGCAGAGGATCATAATTCATAACAGGTTGTCAATATATATACAAATAACACGAAAGATGACGAAGATGATGACGTAGCAGTTGATAGACGTGTACAGTTTTGAGTTGTCCTCTTTTGCTCTCTCTTGGACCGGTGAGGTTTTTCACGGTGAGCGCATGTTGCGGTGATTGTACGGGTCTGATGTGTGGGGACGATTTTAGTATTGTTCGCCACCGTCAAGATCAAATGCTGAATTGGAATTGTCAATGTTCTTATCCAAAATCCATAACAAATCAGTCCCAGAGAATCCTCCTACATAAGCAGATCCCTCCATTTATGTAGATAATTTATTTAGCAATACGTAAAAAGAAATTTAACAAAATTGAGATAGAATATTTAAAAATAAAAATATATATAAAAAAGAGAGAGAGACCGTCTTCGTCACGAAACCAGAAGAAAAAATTTTTTCTCGAAAAAATGTGCGTAAATTTAAATAACCATTTCGTCCCTAAATTTTGACTTAATAATTGATGTTTGTTCGATAAAAGCTCGATTCGACTCGGTAACAAACTGTTCATGAACAGTTTGATGTTTTTTCGATAACATGTTCGATTCGAGTTCGAACATGGGGTGTTCGTTTAATTATGTTCGTAAACATACAGCGTTCGAGTAATCCATTCGTTCGTGAACACCATGTTCACTTATGTTCGAAAACATGATATACATTATTATATATATTTATATGGTGTTAAGTTTATAAAGGATTTTCTATGGCTTAGTGTTAAAAATGCAATTCTTTTGACTTTAAGGCAATGTTTTAAAACCCAACCCGGGGTGAAACCCGGCAAAGCTTCCGGGTCCCGGGTTGACCGGTTTGACCGGTTGACAAAAACTTTTAAAATTAAGCAAATATACCCCTAAAAATTCATGAAGTCCCTATAGGTTTGAAATTTATCAAACACACCCCAACTGCAAATCAACCGGCGACTGATTAGCGGCGACGACACCCCAGATGCAACCTCAATCGTCCCTTGAGTCCATTTCCATCAAAATATACCCAAGATCTGGCCGAAATAGGTTCGATTTCGGCCAGATCTCACCGACGTCGACGTCGGCATTCCAGGCTAGATCCCATCGATTCCGGCAACAACAACCCTCCCCATGACCCCAGAATTACTCTCCTTTTCCTTTCGACCAAAACCCACCTCACCCCACCGCCGTTAGCCCTGTCAATCGCGGGAAAAATCTCATCGTTGCCGCTGCCAGTTTTGTTCGATTTCTGGTCGATTTACTCACCGGAAATCAACTCTTTCACCACCATTACATTCACCGGACATTGATCTTCAAAAGCCCCAACATGCCGACAGTTAATTGTTCGTCGATCATCACCGGAAATCCTAGGGTATTGGATGAATAGGAAAAAATTAAACCCGGCTCGTTGAAGCTTTCGGGGCCCGGTTGAACCGGCTAGGCTGGGTCGGGTTTTAAAACATTGCTTTAAGGTTCTTAGTTCGAGCTGTATTAGTATTATATTTATATTTTTTCTTTTTTTTTCCTTTTTATATAACATTTGGTTTAGTTTGAATGAAATTGTTTTAATGGTAATCAATAATAAAATATTATGATGTTTTTGTTTTTTTATATATTTAATATGTTTAGATTTTGTTTTTTCAAATGTCATTAATAATTAAATATATAAGTATATAACATTTTAATTAATAAATAATAAATTATTATAATACAGAGCATGACAAATTTAATAACATAATAGATTGTATAATCAAGTGATATATAACATAACAAATCTAATAACATAATAGCTTCATATTTTTTCAAATATAATCAATAATTAAATATTATAAGATAGTATTTCAATTAATAAATAATATGATAAATAGATTAACATAACATATTGTATAATCAAGTTATATATAGAATGACATATTAAACATATTTAATCTGTAATTAATATATGTATGATAATAATTTTGTATACACACACAGATATATATATATATAAAATGAAAACTCAATAACCAACAAACTAACCTGGCCCAGCCCAAATTTGGTGTATATTTTTTATTCGAACAAGTTATTTGAACAGGTATTTACAAGTTATTCAAACGATTAGTCGAACAATCACAAATAGCTTGTTTTGTTAATCTAACAAACTCAAACGGTCATTATGTGTTCGTTCGATTTCAAACACGATTTCGAACAATCCTTTGTGCTTATCAAACGATTTTCGAATGGAGGTGTTCGTTCGTGTTCGGTTCGTTTGCAGCCCTATTAGGGCATCTCCAACCCACGCCAAAATGGTGTAAAAAACACCAAAATGGCGTGGGTTGGTGCTCCAACCCACGCCAAAGCGCCACACCCAATAATTTTTTTTTTTTTAATTTTGCTTTTTTTTGTTTTTTTTTTTTAGTTTTGTTAAATTAATTTGAGTATTAAATTTTACACCTAAAATCACACCAAATTTGATTATTTGTATTTAATTTAATTTGATTATTATTTATAATAATAAATTCATAATAATGATATAATTCAAAAAATGATGAAAAATTAAAAATAGAACTTTATTCAATGCAAATATTAAACTACAATAACTTAAAATAAAAATTAACACCCAATTTGAGAATGTCTGATTTTAAAATTTTCTTGCTCGATATAAACAAATCAAGGATACAGAGGCTCACCATGCTCTTCGAAATGCATTAATTGATCATTTGTGGGAAGAACATACTAATTCGAAAAATTAAATTACTATCAATATGGAATTTTACCTTTGTGTTGTTGTTTTTTTTTTTTTTTTTTTTTTTTTTTTTTTTTTTTTTGATGTAATGTTTTTTTTTTTGTTTTTTTTTATAGGGGGCTCTAAGCACTGAGGGAAAGGGTGCTCTCGGTATGTACGATGCAGGGATGGTTCATCCTCCCCAACTTTTTCCTTACCCGCGTCTCTTGAACACTTAACTCAACAGAGGCACTCTCACTCTCTTTGGCTTGGTCTCTACCTAGACTTTCCTCTTCTCTACCCTAGACTTTTACTTCCCTCTCAGCCTAATTAGCTCTCGGCCGCTCCGAAGAGTCATCACGCCTTAGCTTTTCGGAAAACCTCTTGTTGAGAAGAACCACTAGGGTTACCATGACTTGACTAGGCAATTGGCCTTGTTCCCTCCTATGACTGTTCGGCTATTTGACCAATCTGGGTCTCTAGCTTACTAATGGATTGGGAATGGGAATGTAGAAGTTGGGTATTTGCTCCCAATCCTGGAACCTATCATTCTGTCGCTTTTTGGTCCTGCATGGTTTGGAGCATTTGAGCCATCATTGATTCTAGTGAACTAGACACGCTGGAGTAGGCTGCTGAACGGGAGGTGAGAACCTAGGTGGATGGGTGGTTGGATTGAAGGTTGTCCCTATAATTGCCTTGCTGATTGGAATGATTATTCCTGTATGGCATGTTATTGGGACATTCTGAGGTGGTTGTGGCTTTCATGAAAAATTAGGGTGGTTCGCCACCAGAATTGTATGTGTTCGAGTACGGATCGCTCGTCTCTGGAAGCCTTGCAACTTCGCACTGCTCCTCAAAAGGTCAGGGGCAAGTTCCTCAACGGATGGTCAAGAGTGGAGTGCATGGCAAAAACATCCTGGTTCGCCTTCTGAGATGATTGTGTAGAGGGTTGCCCTTGTATAGATACAAACTGGTCAAATCGGTGGGCCAACACCTCTAACTTGGAACTAAGTCATCTAACCGGTGACACCTCATATACGCCACCCTTTGGATGGCTGCTCTGAGATAGGCATTCTAGACGACAGAAATGTGGTGCATTGAATTCACTTAAGGTCTCGAAGAGTTGCCATAACTCATTCTCGTCCTTGTGCTTGTAATGAGTTCCTCACAAGAGGCGTCTACCATTTCCTCTGCCTCTCGGGCAGTCCGCATAGAAACTAAACTAAACTAATTGCCACCTAGGGACTGCATGATGGACACTTCCTAAGCATTTCCTTCAAACGTTCCAACTTCATAAAATTCCTCGCCATCAAGTTGAGGAAACTAGTAATGGCTCGTCGTATGCTGTTGGTTTTACCAATGGGGTAATACTTTTTTAGGAATCTTTGTTGCATTTGGGTCCAGAGATAATGGACCCTGCTGCACAGAATTGAGCCAACTGTTTGGCTCGATCCTTAAGTGAAAATGGGAACAAAATTAGCGCACGACATCTTCATTCACATGTTGAAGTTAACTGGGGCAAACCTCTAAAAATTCATCTAAGTGTTTGTATGCTCCTCATTTAAATTCCCATAATAATTTGCAACAATTGGATGACACTAGTTTTGATCTCATAGTGTTGTGTCTGGACATTGGGGATATGGATACATGAGGCTGAAGTGTAGGTGGTGGTGCGAAATGTTGGCTAAGGGGCACATGTGGGGTTATCCTGGTCAGCCATCCTACGTGCTTGTTTCTATTCTTCTACAAGTGCGTTCAATCTCAAGATTCAAAGGTAATAACTCTTCGTTAAAAGACCTTCTAGTTTGCATTCACCAACCAGACACGCAAAAGGCTAAACAATCAACGCCAGCAACAATGTGAAAGAAATTAACTAAATGCAAAACCTAAGAAATAAATTTTACCAAGCACACGAAACAAAACTAAAACAAATCTAAAATCTAACGAAACTATACTCAATGAAATTTCACACAACAAAATGTTTAATCAAAACTAAATTTATCAATGCAACCTAAAAGAATTTAACAAAAATCAAAGGTTAAGAGAATTTCACAATGCGGACGTGCAGGATCTTCAATGCTCATGACACGCTAGAGCGTTTCCCAATTGCAATTTTCCTTCAAAAAAAAACAAACACAAATGAAACTATTCCATGAAAATAAAATGAAATAAAATAGAACCAAGTAAAAATGAAATTACGCAAACAACCTAAAAAGAAAATAATTAACAAAATGCAAGAGACAAAATAAACGGGACACAATATTAAACAATTCCCCAAACAAATAATCACAAGAAAGAAAATAACACAAACAAAAACAACAAACAACAAAGACTAAAATAAACAGAATAAAAAACTAATAACTACCCAAACACACAAAGTCAAAAGCACGTTGCCCCCCGGCAACGGCGCCAAATTTTGTTAGACCGATCGTCACAGTCTAAAAATTAAACCTAAGTACCGTAGTTAGCGGTAAGCAGGATTGAATCCCAGGGAGCAAGACTAACAACCTAATGTATTCAAGTGCGGAAATGAATGGCATGGTAATTAAACTAAATAGACTAAATGCAAATAATGAAATAGTGAAATTTAAACAAATAAAGACTTTATTAAAAATGTTGCCGTTACGGTTTTGGTTCGACACGAGACCGACTCACACAATTCTCCTCCACCTCTACGATTCCAAAATTTTGTTAGACCGATCATCACAGTCCAAATTAAACCTAAGTACCGTAGTTAGCGGGAGCAGGATCGGATCCACAGGGAGCAAGACTAACAACCTAATGTATTTCAAGTAGCGGAAATGAAATTGGCAATGGATTAATTAAACTAAATAGACTAAATGCAAATAATGAAATAGTGAAATTTAAACAATAAAGACTTTAAATAAAAATGTTGCCGTTACGGTTTTGGTTCGACACGAGACGACTCACACAATTCTCTCCACCCTCTACGATCCCCAAACCTACAAGGCAAGGTAAATCAATGAAATGGTTTCCGACACTCTAGGTAAATCTATCCTGTCTCACCCGATCACTCAAGTTCGATTGGTTAAAGACTATCATTGAGGCCGATAAACGCTACTAAGGTAATACCACTAGTTGGTACGCGATTAACAAATACAATTTGTCAACACGTAATATCCAATCAACCAACTTCACAATAAACGCAACAATAGTAGAAATTAAATTAAATCCGAACAAACACCAATTACAATCGATGCGAAGTAATGAAAAGCAATATTCTCATTTAATTATTCCAAACCAACGTTTACATTCAGCAAGTTCTATGAAAATTAAATCATAATGGACAACAAAATTCATCACAAGTTATGCTCAAATCATATTAAAGTATCGAAATCAATCATGAAACGAAAACAAATATAATCGAAGCACAATACTACCAATGTCCTATAATCGGGCTCATCCAACTAGTCGAGAGTTGATGAGGAGAGTCATGGGTCAATCCCGATCTCGCCTATGCCGTAACAGACACCCGGAGCTTAGCCGCTCATGGTGTGATGACGGAGGCCGAAACGGTGGAAACGGAGCTGACCATGGCGGAGAGGAGGTAACCGACAGCGATATGATGCAAAGAAGGGGCAAAACGACCAACGGACAGCTGGAATACGAACAGCTCGCGTTCGCCGGAAAACTTAATTTTCCGGCGGGTCTCCGGAAAACGGTGCAGAAATGGATCCGAAGGTACCGATGGAAGCTGGTGATGGGGAGTTCAGATCAGGTCCTGGGGAGTGAGAAGTCGCTGGAAATGAGCAGGATCTGGCCTGGAAGATGAAGAGTCGTGGCGGCTAAATCACGGATTCCGGCGGTTTTGCGGCGGCTGAAACTAGGCAAGTGTAGATCCGGCTGTGGGGAAGGTGGATCGACCCTTGGGAGCCGAATCGTCGCCGGAAAACGGCCAAAACTGGCGCGGAAGACGAAGAGTCGCCGGTGGTGGAAGATGAACGTCGCGGCTGCTTCCGTGATTCGCGGTGGTGGTCCGGGACGATGGGATGATGGTGAGCGGTGCACGAGGAAGCCGAAGAGTCGCCGAGGTGGAAGACGAAGGGTCGCTGGAGGTGGAAGACGAAGGGTCGCTGGAAAACTTTATGGATGGCAGCCTCCCCTGGTCGCGATCTGCATTTTTTCTTTTATAGGAACACATTGCAAAATTTCAGTTTAGTCCCTACACAATTAAAAAGTGACAAAATCAGCCCCTTAAAACATGACATTTTACCCCCTAAACAGCATAAATGAGACAAAATCACCCTTAATCCATAAACCACAACCTAATATCAACTCATATATTTTCCAAAATCATTCCAAACACGTTAAATTCATAAGAAAAATATTAAGAAGCGATTTTCATGAATAAATTCATAAATTCTTTAATTGTCTCAATGTACTTCAATTTAATCACAAATGGGGTATTTTTATCACCAAAATAGAGTCACTTTCATGACTCTAACAATGGCTTAGTGTTAAAAATGCAATTCTTTTGACTTTAAGGTTCTTAGTTTGAGTTGTATTAGTAATATTTTTTATAATTTTTCTTTTTTTGTCTTTTTTATATAATGTTTGGTTTAGTTTGAATGAATTTTTTTTCATGGTAATCAATAATAAAATATTATGATGCTTTTGTTTTTTTTATATATATAATATGTTTAGATTTTGTTTTTTCAAATGTCATTAATAATTAAATATATAAGTATATAGCATTTTAATTAATAAATAATAAATTATTATGACACATAGCATGACAAATTTAATAATATAACCGATTGTATAATCGAGTGATATATAACATAGTAAATCTAATAACATAATAGCTTCATATTTTTCCAAATATAATTAATAATTAAATATTATAAGATAGCATTTCAATTAATAAATAATATGGTAAATATTTAAACATAACATATTGTATAATTAAATGATATATAACATGACATATTAAACATATTTAATCTATGATTAATATATGTATGATAATAATTTTGTACACACACACACACACACACACCCATATATATATATAAAATGAAAACTCAATAACCAACAAACTAACTTGGTCAGCCCAAATTTTGTGTATATTTTTTATTCGAACGAGTTATTTGAATAGGTATTTACAAGTTATTCGAACGATCAGTCGAACAATCACAAACAGCTCGTTTTGTTAATCTAACAAACTCAAACGGTCATTATGTGTTCGTTTGATTTCAAACACGATTTCAAACAATCCTTTGTGCTTATCAAACGATTTTCGAACGGATGTGTTCGGTTCGTTTGCAGCCCTATTAGTGACAAGGGTGTCAATTAAGCCGCTCAAGCTTGGCTCGACTTGGCTTTAGTGTCAAATTGAGTTTCAGTTAGCCAGATTTGGGCTCGACTTGAACTCAAAAAGGTCAATTGAAAAAAATGAAAAAAAAGGACAAGAGAGTTTTTTTTTTTTTTTTTTTTTTTTTTTTGAGCTGAAGCTCGAGATCAAACTCGAAATCTTAGTCTCAATCTCGAATTTTCAAGCTCGAGCTCGAGTTTGAGCTTGATACTGTAGCAAACAAGCTGAACTCGATTAACTCAAAACTCGGCTTAGCTCGGCTCGTTTACACCCCTTTAGAAATATTACTAAAAAATTATACGACACAAAAGGAACTTATACAAACTTTTGGGAGGAAATTGTTATTATCCCTGTAGTTTGCTGCTTCCTAGGCAACTTAGCTGTGAATTGTGATGGCCAGTTGGCAATTTCAAATGCCCTTTTCCAATAACAAAGGGAGAAACATAATATGAACCATATTAATTACAATTAAAGAAAGTATTAAATTAAGGATTAAGATAACCTAATCCTTATAATGCAATCTTAATTTTTAAGCAATTAGATAAAAACACTCTTTATAATTATCTCATTTATGTAGCCCCGTTAGAAGTTCAGTGACTTTGTTAGTTGTTACATTATTTATTTATTTATTTAGCATAATCATTTAATTTGGCTGGATGCAATAATTTCGATTTTGCTTTTGTCTAGATGGTATTCTTACTTTAATAATTATATTTATCGCAACCTTATAATAGCACATCAATCAATTAATAATCCTTAAAACTTCAATATAATCACGCCATGCCATGACTATGACGTTATCATGTCATTTTCATTTCATAATTTGAATACCTAACATTTCGAGATAATTGCAATAATTCTTTTTTATTTTTATTATTATTTTGTGCCATTTGATTGCAAGTTTGCCACTACGTTTACTTATTTTTCACGTCATTTAATTGTCACCAAATAATAGTTTATAGATATAAAAATTTAATTAATAATAGAACCATTTTTTATAATCTAATATTAAAATTAACTTTTGCATTTACCAAACCAAAAATCTACAACTTTTTTTTAATAAAAGCTCTATATTTATAAGCTACATTCATAAAATCTATTTTTTAAATTCTATTCGGAAAAAAAAAAAAATCCCTAACAAATCTTGAATAGAAAAAAAAATTGTTGAAATTTGATTTAAAATACTTCTAACACTTCAAATTGTATACGTTTTTAGGGGAAAAAAAAATAAAAATATTATAATAAAAATTTGTGGTGAGAATTCACTCAATGATTTAGAAGTTGTCAAATTGCATTACAAATCCTTATCTATGTCAAAATTTTGTATTTCAATAACCCAACTATACTTTAAAATGGTTTTTATTTGGGGAAGATTTGAGAGAACTTATTTTTATACAAGTTTTGACACAGTTTTTTTATCCGTTAGATTAAAACATTTTAATGGTTGAGATTCAGTTTAACTTGCATAATTAATGTATATTGAAAATATCTTAATTTAGATACAATCTCAACCATTAAAATGCTTTAATCCAACGGCTCACACATTGTCCCAAAACTTATGTAAAAAAAAAAAAAAGGGTCCCAATTTATAATTATATACATTTTTTTTTTTTTTTCACTTTGAGATGGGCTTGTAATCTCCATACAAATCTTGTCCACGCCCATCAAAACCTGGGGCTAAAAAATTGGCCCAAAAACTTACCCGACCCGAGTCCACACTTCACACGAGCCTCTTATTTGTATATTTTTCTTCTTCACACGTTTGAACTCTCTGCTTCTCTCACTCACATGTCACCCATACACTTCACCATTCCTTGATTCATTTCCATCGACCCGACCCGAAACAGCCAAATGGCGGCTTACAGAGCGGACGACGACTACGATTACCTATTCAAAGTGGTTTTGATTGGCGATTCGGGTGTGGGCAAATCCAATTTGCTATCCAGATTCACCCGGAACGAGTTCAGTCTAGAGTCCAAATCAACTATAGGAGTCGAATTCGCCACCCGGAGTATTCGAGTCGACGACAAGATTGTCAAGGCTCAGATTTGGGACACCGCTGGCCAGGAAAGGTACGTTATTGATAAGTTATTATATGGGTTTTTTAATAGTTTTTTATTGATTTTTGCATTAGGGATTTTTTTTTTTTTTTTTAAGAGAAATTATGTTTGTTTGATGAGAAAATGTGGGGACAAAATTTTTGCGGTTGGGGTGTGCTTGGGTTTAAGGGAAAGTTTGATTAAAGTTTATATCTTTTGGAAAATGGCTTCTGTGATATTGATTTTATTAAGTGGTTGCTGTGAGAGCGAAGGAAAGTGATGGAACTTTGAGGTCATTCTGTTGGTTGCTTGCAACGTGGTTAAATGTCATTTGAGATGGACATGTTTGACATAGGTTGCTGGCGATAAAACTTGCTTCTTTGATCTTTTTAGGCTTGGGGATTTGATTTTATGGTTTCTTTAGTTGCTGAAAAAAATTGAGTAAACAATAGGGTCTTCCACTTGAGAAAATGCGGGGAGAAGAGTGTTGGATTATAAGGGATATCACATTGCTTACAAAATTTGTTAATTTTGGGGGTTTGCGCCTTAGAAGTATGGTATATGTGATTGGTTAGCTTTTTTTTTTCTTTTTTTCTTTTTTCATTTTGTGTGTTTTTACAATTTGTGGAAAAAGGTCTACCGAAAGTTTAATTCTACTGTTGGCATATTGGTGGTTAGGATGGATTTGAGGCTGCTGGCGATGAACCTTTTTTTTTTTTTTTTTTTTAACTTGATTTCGGTTTGGGGTTTCAATCTGTAATCTGTTTGAGTATGCAGATGAGTGTAGGGAAGTTTGAATCTGTACTAACTGTTTTTTGCTGAGAAAATATAATGAAAGGGAGTTTTAATCTTGGGTTCCTTAGGTTTATCATTGTTTTGAGACCAGGGGAAAGAATTGAAGAACAAAAATGTCGAATATGAATAACCCTAGTTTGACTTCTTGGTTTACTTTACGTGTATTCTCCACATGATTCAGTTTTGTGTTTTTTCTTTGGATCTCCAGATTAGATCTGGGGTGCTTTAGTATTAAATATTTTCCGTGTGATCATTTCAAAGTTCACCTCTTTTCATGGATAGTGCATAGAGATTTTAGGTGCATTACATTTGGAGCAGCATAGTTGATGGTGTGGAAGGTGGACTTGAGACTATGGCCCTGTCTTTGGAAAGGGAATTCTACACTGAACTTTTGCTGCTGAACTGAGAATTTTCTGAATGCTATATTTTTGGATTTATGTCCAATATTTTGTGTGCATATCTGACCTGTGTATGTGTTTGTTGTGCGATGGACCTGTGTACATGTCCAACACATATTTGAGCTGCCAACCTTCTGTGTGTTTCCCAGAAGCCAACTATTGATAGTGCGATTACCTTCCAAAAGTGGTATACTACATTTCTTACTTAAGGATAACTATGTTGAAGAGTTGGGTGGTAGTTTACATGTTAAAGTTTATAGGATAAGTAAGGAGTGAGAGATCCATTAAGATTGGCATATGCTTGCTTTTTAATTTTTCTTGGGTTGTGATTAGAAGGTACCTTAATTTGTATTCAACTTTGCAAGAAGTGGTTTAGTTAATATGCCCAAGGTCTATAATATCATATATTGTAAGTACTTTTTTGTCAAAATGATGACCTCAATTTATCGGTAGTATTGCTTTTGTTTTCTGCTTAAAAGCCTCAGCTTTGTCTGAACCCAGAGTTCAGGCTTATTGGCAGCACCACTTGACTCGGTATGAGTGTATAGAATATTGAAAAAAAAAAGTTGTCTGCTTTTTTCTTTGATGTATGGAGAAAAGGTTAAACTGAGAGTTTTCTTTTATTAAATTTTCTTATGTTAGTATTGGTGATGAATTTTCTCTTTGAAATAAATATGTATGAACTTGTGTTACTTTTTCAGCAACTCTGAGAATATGATTATTTAACTATTTTTTGTTTTCCCTAGATACCGAGCTATCACAAGTGCATACTACAGAGGAGCTGTTGGTGCATTGCTTGTCTATGATGTTACAAGACATATCACATTTGAGAATGTTGAGAGATGGTTAAAGGAATTGCGGGCTCACACAGATGCCAATATTGTCATTATGCTTGTAGGTAACAAGGCAGACTTACGTCATTTGCGTGCTGTTTCCATGGAGGATGCTACGGCCTTCGCTGAGAGGGAAAACACATTCTTTATAGAGACATCAGCTCTTGAGTCTTTGAATGTTGAAAAGGCATTCACTGAAGTGCTAACCCAAATTCATAATGTAGTCAGCCGGAAAGCACTTGATATAGGGGATGACCCTGCAGCCTTGCCTAAGGGACAAACCATTAATGTTGGAGGCAAGGATGACGTCTCGGCTGTTAAGAAAGTTGGTTGCTGCAATGTTTGAATGCAAGCTGTGATGATTTAGAAGAGGATCTAATTTAAACTTCTCCCCATTTCTGTCGCAGTTTTGAGAGTTTCACATGTCACAACATGGTCCCTTCCGAACTTATGGCTGTACTACTATGCTTAAGCTTCTATGAGCTTGATTAATGGTTCGGAGTAAAGAATTGCCTCAACACCTCATCTGGATATCAATTTTGCATCTCGTTACTTCAAGCTTTTCCTTGTCATGTATTGTTTAATTTTTTGCTATTGTAGTTTTAATTGTACTTCCTTTGCTCTAGAATAGAAAGTGTTTTTGGATCAATTTGCCTTTGTATTTGACTGCTATTGAATGATTTCTTCAGTTTTCATAAGAAAAAAGAAACAAATTAGCCTCAAAGAAATGCTGCTTCTGTTGATTACAATCTCTACCAAATCATTTGAGTCTGTACGTTATTCTGATAGTCCTGTACACTGCCACAACTTCAGGAATCCCCTTTTGCAGAATTTCATCATATCAGTAAAATGAATTATTGAATTATGATAAACAAAAATTACAGTCATAAAAATACTATCATGATTAATGTTCTTTTTTGCAAGATTAATTGTTAACATCTTTACATTCCTGACAAGAGCTTTCTAAACAGTGCATAAACTTTTTCAGATGCTTAAGCTTGGAAGCTTTTTCAAGCAATTGTTTCCTCCAAGCTTTCAGTAAACAATAATCTGTTTCACTTATATCTTTATCATTATCATCCAGAATCAAGCAGTGTAATATATTAAGCTCTTTCAGGTTCTTTAATCTCTGATCCAAAAGACTCTCCAAACCTTTGCTAGACAGAGTGGACTCAGATAAATCTAACAGTTTAAGTCTTGGAAAGCCTTCTATAATACATAAAGCTTCTCTTTCTGTTACTTCTCCATGAACACCAAGCTCCACAAGACTCTTACAGAACTCGGCGAGCTGCAATAAAAGGGCAAACCCTTCTTCAGGGTTCAATCTCGCATGAAAAACACTAAGTTTCTTCCAATAAAACAAAGATATGTATATAGGCAAGGCCCTGGAACTGACATCAGAAGGCCAAAAGACACAAGAAATATTAGGAGTTCTTTCAGCTATGTAAACAGTTGCAAAGTATCCAAAGATGTATTTACTTGGAAAGTAGATTGTAACCCAATCCTGCTGGAAGTGATCAATGGCCAGTTTCAGCAGATGTGTAAATCTTGACCGTTGCTTTTCATCCTCAAGATCATCGATCAAACGAAGGTCCAGTATCGAATTCCGGAAAAGAGTAAATATTGTTGCTGAGAGCCATGCCTTGCATACATAAGTAGGGCAAAACAACAGGTCCTGGGGACTTAAACATCCGAATATCATTGACAATACAAAGGGGTTTAAGTCTTCCCATGGAGGGTTTTGCCTTTGCTTTTGCCTCTTCGTCTTCACCATCTGGGTTTGCGTTTTTGTATGCAATTGGGCAATGGCACTTCCTTTTAGTTTAGTGTTAAGTATATATAAGATTTCTGGAGACAACAGGGAACTAAAATTACTGCGACAGATAATAAGTTTAACCACATAGTCAAAGGAAATTAATGAACTATTATGATAGTAATCCAGGTTCATATTTCGTCAGTTTATCAAAAACAGTTTTTGGAGTTTAAAGAGAGAGATGAAAATGCTGAAGGTTTAAACAAGATACTGGTAAAATTTGCTAATTAATTAATGATTAGGAGGAAAGGAAGTGCCCTTGTAATTTGTTTGATTGGATTTTAAAAAGTGATTATCAGCTAATGATGTGTGGATGGAAACAGCTTATCTATTGGAGATTAGTTACTATTTAGATGTCAAATTTGATAGGTGTAAGATAAAGTTTGGAAGTTGGGAAAAAGACAAAGATGATGAGCATCAAATCTAAAATGAAGTAATGGATGAGGAAGAAGACAGATGAAATGGTAACATTGAAATGGTGGCAAGTGGCAACTGGAGAATAGGCCAAAGTTGATGATGTGTTGGCACTGAGTTTGACATTTGTTATCTTTTTGGGTCATAGTACCAGTCGGCAGAACTGATCTAACAAAGGCTTCTTAAAACACCCACCTCTTGTTTTACATTTTTACAATCTCCTCCCACATGCTTTATAAATCATTATTACTACTTTCCCTTAGGTTTTCACTTTCCTCTATTATCTCCCCTCATAACTGTTTTGTTTTTGTTGACGCATGATTTTGAACGCCAATGACTCGCACGTGCAAAGTATTAAGAGGCTCTTAGAAATTATACGTGATGAATCTATGAGATTTGAATATGAAGTTGAGATTATATATGTTTTAGAAATCATAAATAATAAATTGACAAGAAAGGTTTTTACAGTGGTTCGGAGTTCAAAGTAAATCCTACATCCACTGTTATTTTATTGATCTCTGACTATTTCTATGATTTTGCCCATAAGACATACAAAGATGAAAAAATACAGTGTTTACAGAGAGAAAGAATTGAGCTCTTATCTATGTGTAACTCTCATATGCCCAACCCTCATTTTTGGGAAGAGAAGTGTCAATTTATATACCTTTGAGGTCAATGTAATGAGTGTTTTACAAGTTACCTTGACACATGGAAGACTCTCGTCCATTTATCTCTTGAAATGATATAGGGTTGGTATGAATTTCTTTGAAGAGATATGGGTTTGACAACTAGTACAAAAAGACATTTTTTGAGCTGACATAAGCGTAACTTTTTAGATATAATAGTTTTGTTACAGTCAAACTTTATTGAACAGGGCACATGTGTTATTTCAAACTAATCTATTTTTCTCCTTTTTTTTTTTTTTTTTTTTTTTTTTTTTATTTTTTTAGTATTCAAAGTTTGATTATATTGCTTTCTTCAATTATTTGATTTTTTTTTTTTTTTGGTAATCAGAGGTGTCCGAGCCAACTTACGTGTACCTAAACTAATCCTTTAGAGACCTGAAGTTAATGGTCGGGTAATCCCTCAATGGTCATCTCTATTAGCAACCGAAGGGAATCAAACTCAGGACCTCTTGAGTGATACACCAAAGAGTCTCTATTCAACTACTCGGTCACCTAGGAGTTGGTTTAAACTTAATCTTTTTGGGTTAGCAAAAATAAATATATTTAGTCAACTATTTATCATAACTACACTTCTTTTATTTATCATAAATATTTAGTCAATTATTTATTAAAAAAAGTCATATAATACTACACTTACAAAGATTCTATAAAAAGTCATCTATACAAAATAAAGTGATATTCTGACACATCGTTCACTTTCATTTAATGAGTATTTATTAACTCAATTTTTAATATTAATTCATCCAATCACATTCTAACACATCACTTTATTAGAAATATTGTATAAAGTCTTTATAAGTATGATATTAATCTATTTAAAAAAAAAATCATGTGGTGGAACATGATTAAAATTAAGGCTACTATTGACTTTTAACATAACGATGCCTAGGTGAGATACTTGAGTAAAGTTGAATTTGAGGGGATGTATTTGAGGATTGATGATACCTCTGGGAGGATTTGGAGATAAGTTGAAACCTAGGGGAAGTATCTGATATTAAACCTAGAATATAAGTGGGGTAGAAGTTGAGTGGATTATTATGCACTCAGTGGGGGCTTATTGTCCGAAACATGTCCGTCCAAAATAGAACGTGAAATGTTTTGTAAATTTTATGTGTATCTATCGGTGAAGTGATTGTAAGATTATCGAATTAACAATTTATAAAATATTAAAATCTTTGTTTAATAATATAATAAATTAAAATATAAAATATTGAAACGAATCAAAGAAAAAGAAATGGTGATGTAATAATTTATATTTGTTTTAAAATTTGACATTGATGAAATTTGCACTTGTTTTAGCCATGCCAAAAATATTTTACATCAAAGTCTAAATGTTGTGGGCTCCAAGGTAGTGGGACTGATTAGCATACCTAGTTTGGAAGTTTGTGAAGGCAGGGGTCACCGACAAGGTCGTGGCCAGAAATAAAATGAAAGAAGGTCAAAATTGAAAGAATAATACAATTTTAAATTAGAATAAGCATAAGTTTTATATTTATAAAATTCTTATTAACTAATACATTTATAATTATACTCGACGGGATTTCATCTTTTGAAAATATTGTATAATGGCTTAATTATCAATTCTATCAAATATATTTTTCTCTATATATACAACTAAACTATCATTTCTCCATTTCGTAAATGATTCTTCACAAAATTTATTGTTGAAAATGCTCTGTTTACACTAAAAACAAAAATAATAAAAAAAATGGTATGATTGATAATAAGATATATAATAAGAAAGAATAAATAATAAAAAATGATGGAATAAGCAAAGCTGTATAAAGAAATAGAATCATAAAATTGGGTCCTCTAAAATGTAGAAAGAATTTGGGAGTGGTAATTATGTTAATAAAAACATGAAATTCAGGACGAGCAAGAGAGTGTGGGGTCGGAATTTATACGTCAATTCAATGGTTCATAAATGTTGTCATCCTCATTTTCACAATCCTATAAATAAACAAACACGACATCAAATCAAAATCAAATAACAAGTAGTTGTAATGTTAAATTTTAACAATAATAATTAAGAATTGATATCCAAATCAACGACCAAATTGGGGGGATGAGAAATAAGTATTATTGAATATAGATTCTAAAAATGGGGCTCTACCCTACAATCTCATTCTTATGTAAGATTGAACGTAGGATAAGCATATCCACAACCTGTCATTCAACTTATGAATACGTGGAAGATACTTGCTACAAAAGGGCAGGATTTTGAATCTTTGATTTATTAGTTACCTTTCACATGCACACTAGTTTTACCAAATTATTATTAGTAATTTAAAAAAAAAAACTTACGTGACCCTCCTTGACCCCCTCTCTCTCCGTCCATGATCACCATTAATGTTTGTTAATTACACGAAAGTAACAATTATCAAAATGTTAATGATCAGATGTTTTACTTTTATATATAATTATGTTAATTTTTAATTTCATTCACCTAAGATAACGTTAGAAATACGTTAAGACTTTTCAAATTCCATAATATCATTCCCCTAAGATAACATTAGTCATATGTTAGACTTTTCAAAACATTAGTCATATGTTAAGGTTTTTCAAATTTTGTAATGTCATTCACCTAAGATAAGATTAGTCATATGTTAAGATTTTTCAAAAACTTTTACAAAAATTCTTTAGACGATTTTGAACTAACAAGAATTTAAGTGTTATTTTCAGATTCTATAGGATCTAACTTTGTTACGTCAAACCTCAGGGATCAACATGAAATTTAAGTCTTAGTTTGGAAGTATGTGAAGGCAGTGGCAGGAATCACTGAAATTTTATTTGTTGTGTAATGGTACCTAGTACAACTTGATTGGAAAGAAATTGTAGAATAGTATTCATAAATTTGTATGGAACTTCCAAAAATGATGAGTGATAGTGAGTTACATGAGGTTAATGGTGTATTTTTATGCATTTAATCATATAAAATGGCCCTTTATAAAAGAGAATATTTCTGCTGGTATACATAATGGTCTCGATACAATTTTTTTTTTTTTTTTTTTTTTGAGTAACTATAGAGTCCAAATCAATTTGTGCACATTTTGATTAATCCTCAAAATCTATTGCACACCCTACAAACCCAAGTGAGTCACAAATGATAAGTAACCATAAAGTTCAAACCTAAGAACTCAATGAAGATATCAAACCTCTTCGACTATCAAACCAATCCTTTGGGATTAGTCTCGATACAATTTTATCAAGTGCATAATCACGATTTTATTTTGGTAGTATCATTCATTGTAGTCCATCGAAATAAATCTAACATAAAATCAATATCAAGATGTCCTGATTAAGAATCACCCTATATGTATATAATGTAATCCGACGATATTTAAACATGATCCTGACACTGACATAACACTATCAAATTACAAGAACAAAACTCTCACTACCTGCTTCATTGCTCTATTTAGTATCCATGCACAAAAGGACATGTAGGAAAATACAAACACAAATAACCTCGCACTTTTATTCTTATCAAAGGTTAAAATATTTCAACAAAGCTTAGCAGATTGAATAGTTACACCACAGAACAAAAAAATTGAGAATAGTAACTGCAACTTAATAATAATACAAGAGTAAAGTTAAGGCAAATGCAAAACAACAAAGTATATACAGTTTTTTCATAGATACAGGACCAACAAATAAATGATTAAAGTCATTGTGACTGTTAGCCAGATATATGCAAGTACATGTACAAATTACATAACAAAATACACTTTGTTATAATAAATAAGATCGGTAGAAAGACGGCCTTTACTAAGATTCTGCCTTTCCTGTACTTTTATTTGTCTGTTGGGTCATCCCATTTTTATGCATCCTTTGCTTTTGTGGCCAATGCCTCGGATTTAC